GTAAGCCGACGCCGCGTTTCGGCCTCACCAGTTGTGGCCATGTTCTCTGTGAGATCTGCCTCCAGAAAGGTAATGGCTGCTGCGGGCATGGGCGGCATTGAGAACAACCCTTAGACACAGAAAAATGGAGGCTTTAATAAAAGTTGAATTTGCATGCTTATGATCCATGTGTGAATTGTAAAAAGAATAAGATGGCAGCCTGCTCTTCTAATTTTGAAAGGCCATGGTTTTTCATTAGTGAAAGGGCAATTTGCAAAACGTAGGATTTGTTTAGGGCAGATTTTGCTAATTGTCTTAAATCTCGGTATTGTCACTGAAACACTACAAAATTTTCAGCAGCAATAGGAGGTTTGGAGGCAATGTTTTGAACCTCTTGTGTGTTGTATGCAGTTCCTGCATCATATCCTGGGACACCTGTGATGTGCTTAGATGGAAACCTGTGGAAAAGATAGTGGAAGAAAGAAATTATTATCAGAATGGAAAAAAAAATAGCAGTCAGACATCACTGTTTTTCCCTTTGAGGTTGTGCTAAGTGCCCTAATTTTTGTTAGGGCACACAGAAAAAAAATGAATGATCTGTATTTCAGAATTAAAAACTTTTACCTAAAAGTTTTCACAGGGTTTTTGTTGAGGAGAGAGGATCATAAAATGCAGCCTCTAAATGGAGCTTGCAGGCTCCTAGAACCTGAATAACAGCTTTCCATTCTGCTCTTAATGTTATTTGGCAGAAAAAAACCTGAGACATATTATGTATGTTTTTTTGCTGTGAATTCAGTAATAATGATAATGCTGGGTTTAAAATGTGTTTACTCTTTAAAGATGTTTATAAGCATTGGTCCTTAGAATCCTTATAAAGAAAGCAGCTGGTAAAATTATCAGTTATAAATATTGTAGTCGTATGCATTTACTAGAAATATTTGCTAATATATTTGCAAATAATCAAAGAGACATTTAAAAAATTATAAACTTCTTAAAAGTGATTTGATGAAGTTTTCACTGGAAAAATTCACAAGGTAAAATTATTAATTCTTTGAAGTTAAAGTTACATACATTTATCGAGAGAGGCAGACTGGGTCTCAATCTAAAAAGTCGTATATCTGGTTGACTCTAATTTATTAGTGCACTTAAGCATACACTTAATTAAACCAGGCAAGTAGCCCTATTTAAATCAAAGGAACTAAAAGTCACCTGCTCTCAGTGACACTAATGATATTCATAAAATAATTTACGTAAATGTTTATTTGCAGAAGTAAGACCTGATGACATTCACACACGTTTTCCCTGTGCAACTGTGTGTAATCCTTATAGAATCGAATTCTTTGTTCATGTTTATTTACATTTCTTGTATAACTCTCAGATTCCTTCCACAAGCTCCAAACAAAGGTTTAGGCATCAAATTCTATTTAAAATGTATTCAATATCTATTCAGTTTGATGTATATTTTAAATGCAGTTTTACCTTGCAGGCAAAAAAGATGAATGTTTGATCTGTAGAACTCCTTGTCGTACACTATTCCTTTCAAAACAGGTAAATGAAGCTTTACTACTGTTGTATTACATTAATCTGTAGTTTGCTTAACAAGTACATTATTTGCGTTACAAAATACTTACCTTTTGTTTGCCAACTGTGACATGAATATTTACTGATGATAGTTTGGTAGACTTATATACTTATGCACTACACAACTTTTAGTTTTATGGATTTCTTCAAATAAAAGCCTACAGAGACTTTGCAGGTTTTCAGATTCTGCTGGAATTCGTCAACCTTTTCAAGAAGCATGTCTGGCTACTGTGGAACATCAGTGACTACTTCCAAAATGTGAAAGCACATTTACTGACTTTGGCATTTGTACATCAGCGAAAGTGGACCGTAGTAAATTATTTCATGTAATGGACTGAAGTGAAAAACTGCATAGTGGCGCATTGATTTTTTCAAGTGTATTATTTTTTTTTTTCTCCATTTTCTCTTCAGCTTGACTGTTTTTCTCATGGCCACATGATTAAGAGAGGATCTGAAATATTTTTGGCAATTCTTATTATATACTAGAGAATGAATAACTTTTAATTCCCTTTCTTCAGAAATCATTAGAAGGATTTAATTTTACC